CGAGTACGTGGAACGCCATTCCTGGTCTCCTGAAACCACGCTCTAAACTACACGTAGGAGCTTTTAACGTACGAACACTTTGCCAAATAGGACAGCAGGCTTCCTTAGCTAAAACTTTAGAATCTCGCGGCATCGATATGTGCTGCGTCTCCGAAACGCGCATACAGGATTCAAGTAGCGTCATTCATTTGACCTCACCATGCCAAAATAAAGAACCGACTCGATTTACGCTTCGTGTATCTGGAAGCCCTGATTGTGCTTCCCGTGGCCTCGCCGGCGTAGGTATAGTATTGAGTCCTAGGGCAGAACTAGCTCTCTTAGAGTGGATCCCAGTAGACAGTCGTTTGTGCGCTGTCCGACTGAACGGAACAGTAAGAATCCGGAAAGATAGGGACACTCGTCGTTGCCTCTTTGTCGTCTCTGCCTATTCTCCCACTGACTGCAGCTCAGATGATGTAAAACATGAGTTTTACAGAAAGCTCTCCGACCTTCTCCGGAAAGCTAAGCGCTCGGATGTAGTAATAGTGGCCGGTGACTTTAATGCTCAAGTAGGTAAACTAAGCGATAGGGAAAGACACCTGGGTGGATCTTATGGTGTCGTGGCTCAAAGAACAGATAATGGCGACCACCTGTTGCAACTATGCTCAGATAACCGACTGTTCCTTGCAAATACTAACTTTAAGCATAAGGAAAAACATCTTTTAACATGGCGACCCCCTAATTCGTCCCAACGTTGGACCCAAATAGATCACATCGCTATCAGCCACTGATGGAGGGGCTCGATAGAAGACTGTCGCTCATTTTGGAGCACATGTCTAGATTCAGATCATGCTCTAGTGCGAGCGCGTATTTGCTTGCGTCTTACTGGACGTAGGAAAGACGCTGCAAGGAAACCTCTTAGGGCCCTACTTAATGATAGTCAAGCTAAGAGTATATTTCAGGAACAACTAGGAAAACAGTTAGGCAGCCATGTATGTGATGCCCACCCCGATGCAGCATGGAATGATATCCGAAAAGCTGTGGAAACAGCAGTGATATCTGCTAGTAAGGTAAACCAGAAGGTTAGGGAGCAACACTGGATCTCAGCAGCATCTATCTCACTGATAGATGCTCGGAAACTCATTCCACCTGGCTCTGAACATAATGAAGAGCGGAGTCAGCTTAAGCGCAAGCTGACAAGAAGTCTACGCAATGATCGCGAACAGTGGTGGGTAGCAAAAGCAAGAGAGATGGAAAAGGCAGCGGCAATAGGTAATAGCAGACAATTGTTCAGACTCGTTACGGAAACCGGTATTAGGAAACCGACTGTTTAGCGAAACGCTCTCAGAGAAAGATGGACATATTATACATTCTCAATCCAGGAGATTGGATCGATGGGCAGAACACTTTAGGGATCAGTTCAACTGGCCTTCAGCCACACTTCGGTTTCCCACGATCTCTAGTCAACCTGAATGGCAAGTTAATGTAGGTCCTCCGTCCCTTTAGGAAGTTGAAAAAGCCATAGGAAATCTGAAACGAGGGAGAGCAGCAGGCCCTGACAGGTTCACTCCTGAGATTTTTAAGGATGGTGGTCCAGTTTTAGCAGTGGGATTGACTGGGGTCTTGGGTAAAATTTGGGAACTGGACGTAATCCCATCTGACTGGTCTCAATCACTGATTATGCCAGTCTATAAGAAAGGACAAAAGTCCTCTTGTGACAATCACAGAGGAATCAGTTAGGCTAATATAGTGTCTAAAATATTAGCTTCAATAGTACTTTGACGCCTAATCAAAGCTCGTGAAGAGGAGATTAGAGAAAACCAGGCCGGTTTTCGACCTGGACGTGGTTGTATAGATCAGATATTCACACTACGTCAGGTTCTAGAACACAGACACACATTCAGACGCCCCACAATGGTAGTATTTCTCGACCTTAGGGCGGCATTCGACTCTGTTGATCGTGAGGTTCTATGGCAGTGTTTGTCACTGAAAGGAGTACCAAAGAAGTACATTAACCTTATAAAGGCTCTCTACTCGAACACAACTGGTAGAGTGAGAGCTTATGGCGAACTGTCATCAGAATTGATTACCTCAAGTGGTGTTCCTCAGGGCTGTCCACTCTCCCCATTCTTGTTCAACTTTGTGGTCGACGTAATTTTAGAGATAACACTCTCCTCATCTAAATTTCCAGGGGTTGAACTTCTACCGGGAGGTTCACTTGTTGACTTAGAATATGCTGATGACATAGTTTTATTTGGTGAAGACGCTGACAAAATGCAGTCTTTTGACCACTCTAAGCAACAATGCAAGCATGTTCGGGATGCGATTCTCTCCCTCGAAATGCAAAATGTTGCTTCAGGATTGGGTTACATCGACACCCGAACTAGTGATATGGAGTGAAGTAGTTGAGTGTGTCGACCGCTTCACTTATCTCGGAAGTCTCATCAGCCCTTGTGGTTTAGTGTGTGACGAAATCTCAGCACGGATACAGAAGGCTCGACTAGCTTTTACCAACTTGGGTCATTTATGGCGTAGGCGAGATATCCGTCTATCAACCAAAGGACGTGTTTACTGCGCAGCAGTTCGTTCCATCCTACTTTATGGCAGTGAAACATGGCCGGTAAGAGTAGAGGATATCCGTAGGTTACTAGTGAGATTAGATGGTGGTTGGAGGTAGTCAACAGGAAACCCTGGACCCGGGTTTCGTGCTACTTGGCACTCGTCAGCATGGTGTACCTGTAATCTTGAGGGAACTGGTGCTCCCTGGCGGATTCGATCTCGTGTCACCCAGCTTCACAGTCAGAGACGTTACCACTGAGCTATCCGAGCCGTGACTAACCTCCTGTAGGACTGAGATGTAATCACAATTGATTGATCACTGGGTGGTGATCAATCTCATGCTTGTCTAGTCCTTATTAGTGCAGATCGAATGCTATCGATCATGTTGCAATGTGGCCACCAGTCTAGGTGACTCGACACTGCTCTACCACTACGGGATTTGAATCGACAAGTGCATCTCTGTGCTAATGTGGTGTGGCAACTCGAACTGATGTACGTACGTACGAAGTTCTACGTTGTTACTGACTGACTGACTGACTGATAAGGCTTAAAAAGCGTTAGAATTTAATCATATGAATCTGGCACATTTACACTGAATGTTTTAAACAAAAATGGAGATCAGTCAATTTATAGCCACAATACAAAATAAAATTGAACAAAGCAGACCAAAAAAGTCAAGGTGTCGATAGGCGTTTGTTATATCCGATTTAAGGCTTGTTTACACCTGTTCTACTGGGATCGTACGGTTAATCTGTTTGCAAGATTATCATACTATAAACACGAAATGTGTCCACATAATCTACGTAAAATGAAAGTAATCAAAACAAGTTTGAACTTATTTTTATTGTTATGTGTGTCAAACGCTCCGATGAACATCAGCGGTAGGGAACCAGGTTCATCGCCATCAGAACAAGCAATTGGAATGGGTCATAGGACTGACCTTAACATAGCTTCTGAAACGTCAAGAGTGGATCCTTAGGTTTCTAGAAGTCTTTATCGCCAACAAAAATCTCTATATACAAAAAAAACAAGTGGTTGTAACCTTAAATTTCCTCTGGTAATTTTCAAAGCATTTTATGGTCTAGGGTAGTATGTTAACTGCCAATGCTTTCTATATTGTATTATTTCCTTTTCTCTTTTATTCCCAATTATCCCCTTCAAACTTCATCAGTTTTCGTATATAAGAGCTTTGAAAAGTATGTGATCAGACTGTTAGAAACGTATGAAAATGCATAACATTTTCGTCTTCCTGATTAATTGCTTTAAATTATAAGTGAACACTGAGTTTCGTGCCTAAAGCGTTAAAAGTTTAAATTAATCAAATGTTCTATACTTACTAGAGAATCATTAGTCAGAAGAGGATTTCCATGAATAATCTAAGTTGGTAGTGAGTTAAACCGATAAAAAGGAAGAGAAATAAAAATCACTAAAGGCATAAAGGTATAAAAATACAATTAAAACATACCACACTAAATATTTCAAATTTCCACTAACATTCGACAGCTTCTCCGTTACGACTGGTCGCGGAAATTACAATTTTAAAGTTACTGGATCTCAACTTAAACATCATCATACACCTAACAACGTAGTGAATCTGTCGATCAGTACAAACCAGATAGGAAGTTAACGACAGATAGAATATTATACTCCTTACTTAACACGAGTAACACACAAAATACTGTTGAGAACTTACCTAACGACTAAAAATAACAAAGAAGTTTTTTATTTCTTTTGTATAGAATAAGTCCTAGCGACCATATTAAACTGGTGTTTTAATTCATTTTAATCCTACATAACAAATCACTAAACAAATTAAACATACTTGGCCATTAATCAATGCGTTCTCAATTGATACGAATGATCTTCCATTGTGGCATACTTCAGGAGCTTCAACAAATATGACAGCCAAAGGCTCTTTTCTTGCGTCGACATGCACTAGTTGAGTAACAGAATTGCTTCATGATATCCCGAAAAATTACAGTGAAATGTTTCTCCAATAAATGTTTTATAAATTCCGTCAGAAAACAGATACTCTGCACACAAATGCCTTATATATATGCAGCTAAATATAATTAGAATGTACTGAAAATGGATGAAAATGAACACAAGTTGGTTTATAAGTCACTACATGTAACTTGTATACCAGCCTGGAATTTTTCGAGTTATCAGCCCTTAAGACAAATCGTCTGAGTCACCAACTTTATAAACATGTACGTTCTAATCAAATCTATTAGCGTTAAAACGGTTGATATAAATGAAGCCTAGATAACTTCACAATTCAAGGTTCTCTTACACTCATTAATGAATACAAAGCCCTCGCATCATCATTACGACTAGGAAACTATTTGAGGATGCCACACGTTTTCTTCGTCTTAGAATTATTCTAAGCCCACTCTTAAATGACCATAAATGTTTGATATGAAGCAACGAAGACAGTAAACACAGGGAGAATAACGATCGAATATTTATGAATATATGTATATTTAACCGATTACTAAGGATGAGGTACAAATATAGATAACTTCCCGAGTACACATTAGCATCAAATGATATTAAAGCTCGCTAAATCACTCTGAAGAGGTATATGAAGGCTGTTGATCGAATGAAGCACCAAGCTCTCGGTTTCGGTTTATAGCATACAAAGAGTAGACATCTAAATGCTCTTTAAGGAGTTAAGCGAAAGATTGATTATACAAATACCCACTACTAGCGATCTAGTTGCAAACCTACATATGTGCTAATAATAAATGAACTAATGAATACTATATATCTCACTCCATTGTATGCAGGATTTATTCACTGAGAACGCGAGTATTCCGTACGAATCATCTCGTCCTTTTTAAAAAAGATAGCAAGCTGTTCAAAACGTTAAGGAAACCACAACCAAACTGATTGTCAGAATGTTGTGTTTACTGCATTACGAGAGACTAGCTATACTAAACCTGTTTAGCCTATCACAGAAGGACTAGAGGTGAAATAATCAGTTAATAAACTACTTAATAAATTCGTATTTGACATAATCTCGTTTTCTCTTGCCTTTTGGAACACAATATTCACGATTGCGCTCCAAGCAAGCTTATAAGGCCAGAATGACGTGCGTATTATATGACTAACGACGTTACTATCGAACCACCAACAAATGGTTTCAGCTCCTGTAGACCAATTCCAAGAAGGGTTGTACTGAGAAAAACCCATCGCCTGAGATGGTCTTACCAGCACTTTATTTTCTCCAAAAAGAAACTGGGAAGCCCGACGTAGGTTCCATTTGAGGTTAGTGAATATCTTAAGCCTGGCTGAAGTGCTCAACTATTGTCCAAAACGTATCCTCTTAGCGACAGGAGCTCGAAAACGTTACAGGGATTATCTGACTGTGTAAAGCCTGAAATACAACCAATGGCTAGGGTTGACAATAATCCATATACTTGAAACGGTGCTAAAAGCATAAACATTGATGTTCACCAGCTCCATTACTAACCGTAATATATATATATATATATGCGTCTGAAAATCGGACTTCACATGCGGTTTTATCTGAATATTTTAAATTCGAGTTACGCGATAGGGTGAGATTCACGTTCATTAGTAAACACGACAATGTCTGCAAAAATGAAAATAGTTTATTAGACACTATCGCCTGAAATATTACCTCCCATAAGGAGTAACGTCACTAATGCAGACACTTTATCTCCATTTAAGTAATACCGTAGCATAAAATTTTAAGAAATCACGGATAACGGATGTACGTTAATGATCTTACAAGTATAGTACAGTCTCCAATGTTATTATACGCTGACGATGTAAAAATTTGGCGAGTAATAACTGGAGACCCAGACGCATTTACTCTTTAGGCGGACTTAAATAATATGATAAACTGGTCTAAAGAGTGGCTAATGCCTATCAACTCGGAAAAGTGTGTCTACATGCACTTGGGGGATTCAAAGGTTAATACGTACAACATAGGGGATGTGTCATTACCCGTAGTTCGGTCTCATAAGGACCTAGGGGTGACACTGAGCAATGATCTTAAGACGACGGCTCATTGCCGGGAGGTCGCAGTTAAGGGGTTTCGAACCCTCTGGGCTTTAAAAAGGACATTCACTAAGCTTGATACTACCATGTTCACCACATTATACACATCCTTAGTGAGAACTAAGTTAGAGAACTGTGTTCAGGCTGCAAGCCCCTGTTTAAAAGGTGACTCAGACATACTAGAAAAGGTACAGAGGGCAGCTACGCGTGCAATTCCGGAACTCCGGGGTTTGTCATACAAAGAGCGACTTCAAAAACTGGACCTCTTTACTCTGTCCTATCGAAGATTAAGGGGAGATCTAATTTCGATGTATAGAATACTGAGAAATGATTTCGGACCTAACTTATTCTCTCTCTTTCTTCCCACTAGATCGGGACACCTCAGAGGACATAGCAGGCGAGTAGAAAAGCCAAGAACGAACAAAATACCCCTGGCATACAGGTTTTCACACCGAGTCATCAATACTTGGAACCTGCTGCCTGAAGCAGTGGTATCCGCACCTTCAATTGACTCTTTCAAGAGAAGACTGGACACTCACAGAAGCATACTAGGAAAGGAATAACATGGGCCGTAGGCCTTCTGTCCTTACTACACAAATCTGAATCTGAATAAGTGCACGTTTTTGGGATGCTTGGTGTTGTGGAGATATGACAGACAAGCTTATTTTGTAAAGTTGTTAATATTATTTGTATTTATTTTTTCAACTTTTCACTTTACGTATATTTAACATTAAATGACTGTAACTGTTGTTTTAGTAAATGACTGGGACGATTTTACGTCCCGATGAGTTCTGTGAAGGAAGTCTAGCTCTTAAGCACCAAATTATTTGACCTTTACAAAAAATACGCAACTGGTTTCTTTATTAGTAATAAAGACAGACAATTACAACTAACTTTTGCGTATGTCTTATCAAAAGTAAAGGATACAACTTGCACAAGCAAAACCGAATGCGGCTAGTGCAATAATGGACGCTTTTCTCTTTGTTGCTTTAACAATGATCGACCTTCTTACATTTGATTTCTCAGTATGTTTGATAAAATGTCGCAAAACATCGTCCGACTTATCCTCACTCATATTTGAGCAACGCAATTCTCAAATATCCCTCCGCCTATAGATGATTCGAATGCTTTATTCAGAATAAGATTTGTGTATTCAAGACAAAAGGCCTACGACCTATGTTATTCACTTTATAGTATGCTTCTGTAAGTGTCCAGTCTTCTCCTGAATGAGTCAATTGAAATTGCAGACAGGTTCAAAGAATTGATGACTCGATGTGAAAACCTGTATGCCACTGGTATTTTGTTCGTTCTTGGTTCTTCTACTCTTTCATACTTTCGGTCTACGGCCTACTAGGAAATCCTCACGCCATTTCAGGGGAGATCCGGAAACTTCAGGATTTTTTAGCTCCAATAGCAATCTATTTGTTAGCACCTTGTCAAATGCTTTGCCCAAGTATATATAGTCAACTTTCACTAATTTTCCGTTGTCTAGGGCTTTCACCTGTTTTTACCTTGTTATAAGGAGGTTTGTTGCTGCCTAACAAGTTGTGGGTCTCCACAAGTGTGAACGGAATAGAAAAACTTTCACTTAACAAGCCACTGTGTGGGAAATGACGTTTATCAAAAGAAAAAAGATCAAATATTAGTAAATAGTTATGAAGTACTGTTTTGAGTTTTCGAAAACACATCACGTTTCCGAATGAAAGGCTAGTTGGTAAATGCTAGATATACCACAGTAAGTGGTAAATTGCAAAAATTGATTGCACTTTAGCAGCCCGGGATCTGACTCCGTTGTAACCGTTTCTGACTGATATATTTATATATATACATCGTCATTCCTCGTATATAAATACCGACTGAAATCGCGTTAGTGAATAACGGAATCAAATAATCCAAATACGAGAATGGATTTTCTGATACATGTATTTTGTACAATCGTTGATTGAAACAAGAAATCAGAGAGACGTAGTGAAAGAAGGAGAGAGAGAGAGCGAAACGACGTGCAGTGGAGAGAGCATGTGAGTCAGCTCGATTTAATCGAGCGTAAATCAATACTCATAGTCCCACCAAAATAAGATACAGACGTACGATAAGTGTATGTAGATGTGCTTATATACAAAGTCAGGATTGATATGTTCATAATTAATAAGGTAGAAACGTGACTCAAAAGGAATGGATAAGATGGCGTGTCCAGAAGCTGGAATCAGTTATGTGGGCTTAACGTAGTAACCGACACTACAACGCATAAGGAGTGTAGGGTGTATTTACGGGCCAGTTTACTATATCATTCATCTAGTATCTGCATGCTTTCGTCTAAAGATGCCGCAGAAATTCAGCGATGCATCTATTCACCCTATTCCCCAGGATCTGGGATTCTAAATTTGAATGTCAGCTTTCGTTGCATTGCGAGTGCCGAGTAACGCGAGTGGAAGAGAGTCAGCGCACTATGAAACGTTTGCAGCTGAGAGTGAAGCTTTCGGCGGTCACTAAAATCGCACTATCATCCCATTTGCCTGTGTGTGGTGTGTAGTCGTTCGAAGTCGTGTGATTCCTAGTGGTGAAATCAAACAACGGAAAAGTTCACATCCAAACTGGTGTCCACGGTCAGTAATGATTGTTTAAGGATAGCCGAAGGCTGCCACCCATCGTTCGACGAATGTGTGGGCCAATGCTTCAGCAGTAATGTCCTTGGTGAGCACTTCTTCGGTCTACACAAGTTATGACAAAAACATAGATTATTTGTTCTGAAATTAGAGTGTGTCACACTAGGCAAGCCTGTTGACGGGCAAGACCAAATTGTTACGGAAGATACAATCATTACTGTGGTGGGTTAGTCAGTGAGTTTGATGCCTTAAAAGGTACGTACTTATACCTTTATGGAGAGTGAGCCGCCGACTAGCGTCCTCCGACTCACACTGACCTGGGCCATCCTTTCTAGTTCTATACAATTTTAGTTCATTCTTCTCATGTCTGTATCCATTTCTTTGGTCTTCCTCTCCTTCTTGCTTTGTGACGCAGTTGAGTGCTTTCCTCAATGTGTGTCTTATCCATTTCCAGCGCTCCATCCTAATTTCTTCCTCCACCTGGAGCCCCTATAGGGCTGTAGGGCTAGTGAAATTCCACTAAGCACTAGCCAAATTATCCGGAAGTTGGGTCATTGATTGTCGAACAACTCATCGATCCTCGTCAAGGTCAAGGACGCCCATCAGTTAATCGTACGCCATGGACTGGCTCGTGTGGCGGTGGTCTTACTTTCACTTGTATCTACATTGACCAATATATCTCTGTAATAACGTCCTCTGTGTTGTGGTACTTTTCAAAGCATCTATGATACACTTATACATCAGTGGGGTAGTCCACACAATGTGCTGACCACGAGGTGTGACTTCGTTGTTAGCTGGTGTCGTCATGCCATTCTGTAGTAAGTTTCTGATCGTTCGACACAGATCATCTACGTTCCGCCGGTCCCAAGCCCCGATAAATGAGGAGGTTTGGGCATGATGTTATCGACCTTATCTCGTAGAAAACTAACTCGCTAAAAAACCTCCAACCACGAAAAACTATTTTATAAGGTACACTGGTCATAAAATTATGGAGGATGACCCTTCTCACATTTGAATGCAAATACTATTAGTAACATCCGCATTGTCAATATGACAATTGGAGCACTGTACTCAGTTTACTTTAAGACGTGCAACTCTTATCCGGCAGCAAATAAACGTAATTTTGAGAGCTTATTTAAACCGTGACCTTATATCCCACTAAAACATCATAGGCATTAGTGATGGCGCAGGACGAAGTCACTCGTCACATATGCGTTATCAGTGGCATATCTAGAGAGGACCGAACAAGAGAGCAAGAAAAAGAAAGGATGACGAGCAAAGCATACGATGTTCATGCTTGTTGAATCTGAGTTATTTGTGGCTAAATAGTAAAGGTATGACTACTTAGTTGGTGAGACTCTAATTTATGGACGAGCCAGTCAGAAGTGTTTCAGAGATTTCAAGTTTACAGCGCCAACTTCAGTGCTTAACGCTAACGTACGATGGGTTCACAACGAAATTTGTATAAAACGTGATAATTGAGCGGCTGGCATTAAACATGATGTCAGTTCGTGATGAAAACCGCATATATAATTCCTAATTAATGCAAATTGTGATAACTATCGCGAATCGGATAATAAAAGCACCAGTAACACCGGTTGCAGCCAGGTACTACAATCTATACGAATGTTTGGAGAGCGTACAGACTCCTACATAGGCTTGATTATGTGCATCGTGTCATTATCCACCTGTAGAATTTTGCGCACTCAACAGCCGAAGAACACATAAACAATGTTGAAACTATGTGGTCGAGTCTGAAAGAGTTTTTGAGACTTTTTCATGGCTCCAGAAGCCGACTATTCTGTAGCCATATGGATGATTTCCTTCACTGCATGCTTTACGATTTTACAACCTCAGAACCTCTTTCTAACCTTGAAAAGTTTTTGAACCACGTATAAGAAGTGTATCCACTTTATTTCCTTGGTTTTATATATTTTTATTTTACACTGACTGTTCGCTGATTGACTAATATTCTCAAGGTCACTTAAAATTCGTTCAGAGGTCGTCCATAAATTAGAGTCTCGCCACTAAGTCTAATATTCTATTATGAAGGTACTCATAAGCAAGAACATCCTTACAGGTTAAAGAAATCAAGAGTAAATATGGTACGAATGGACAAAGAACTGAATAAATGGAGGTGGCTCAAAAAGAAGTTAAAAGTATAGGATTATGTGAAGCATTAAAATATAGTACCGAAAACAGTATTCTGATACACAAATGACTATCTCCCTTTTTTGTCGAAGCCATTTCAGTTTATTTTATTTTTATTGATTTTATAGGGTCATGAACAGGCTTCGTTTCTGGCAATTAGTATATTTTCGCTTGTAAATAGGATTACTCTATAGCAAGTGAGACCAATTTAACGTCACAAACACGACTTAAATATGTACCTTGCATAATAAATTATTGAAGATGCCATGGGTATTTGGCGTTTGACAACGCTTTAACAAGTAACAATTTCTACCATGAATCGCACCCACTAAGTGCAATCAAAAGACAGAAGCGAGGAGGTTCAAAGATATATTTGATAAGCTATTAATATATCGAGGATCGTCTGATCTAATCTGGCTAGCGATTGAAGGTGATGTTGAGCACGGCGTTCCCACTTGTGATATGGTGTGGATGTATGACCGAGCGCCTTTGGCTAGGTGAGTCCATTAAAACTAATGTGGTCAGCATCCAATGTCGAAAACTTACAGAGCTACTTATTTTGAGGATTTATTTACCGTTGCATTATTATCAAAACGACTGGTTCGTGACATCCGACTTGAATAATAAGTCGTAACTAAACAAAATGTTCTGTTCTACAGACATAGGTGGATCGAAGTTACCCACCACCATCATGTTTGATTTTCGGTAGCGCCACACTACCTCCTTTTGTGATGTTAGGCTTTCTTACGTTTATGGTGTGTATGAATATTAATTTTATCTATGCTCCTTTTTGCCATAAACTGTTTCTACTAGTCCCATGCTTCTGTATTGTGGGTTAGATATCCATTTAGTATATCACACTGCTTTGAAGATAAATATTGGTATAAGTAATAAAACAGGCCAGATTATGTAGTTTAGAGACGGTAAAGATAAATAGCAAATCAAAGAATTCGCAAGAGTTTAGAATTGTATAATTTTCGGAGTAAGAAAACAAAACATTTAGCGGCTCACGAGAACCTAGGATATTATGAGCTTCTTATGATCGACCATAGTTGATCAACATCGATAAGATTAATGAGTTATCTGTCTGCTTGTAATAGAAAAAAGTACATGATATTCAGGGAGAATAATGCAATTTTAACCATTAGAGATATTCGGTATCTCAATGTGGAAAGTAGGAGCATAAGGGCATAACCAATAAACAATGAATAATGGGAGAAGGTAAACCATGTGTTCTATCATTTAATTATATTCATTTAATGACGATTAGGGACCGTTATATTCATGATCGGTCTAGATACTAGGCAGTCCATAAAAAAGTGCCTCATTGTTGGGCGGAATTTCAGCGCATAGTTGATGAAGCTCTTTAGTG